CTCGTCCGGCGGCACCCCTCGCTCGCCTTCGCCGTGCTGGAGAAGGAGAAGGAGCTAGGTATGGCGCCGGTGCGTCTTCCTCGGCCGTGTGTGTGGGGTTACCTGGTGTCAGGCTGCCAGAAATCTTTACTGAAGCACACACTCGCCAAAACCTCAGTGTTTCATGAACATACGTGTAAAGGGAAGCTCTGCTTTTGGGTGGGTGAGCAGCGGTGGCAGAGCGTCTGCCCTTGTTGCTGAGGTGGGTGATGGATTCCACATCCCCCCCCGGGAAGAGCATCTTCAGTTTCCAGGCTCCGCTGGCTTTGCCCTGATGGGGGATTTCTTCCTCCCTTCGCCCAGGGACGCGTCCTTCAGTGGAGAAGCAGAGTTGTCATCAGTCTGTGCTTCGCTGCTGGGACTTCAAGCTTGGACTTTGAGTTAAGAGAGACTGAACATTGCCGCTTCATTGTTGGAAGGAAGCGGGTCTTACTGGCCTGGGGCTCCAGCAGCAGCAGGGATTTCGGGGAAAAGGACGGGGAGGGTGAATGGCTCAAGTAAGGAGCAGTGCAGATTGCAAAGGGACAAGGGCAGGTCTGGTTTAGCGCTGCACGGAGCAGGAGGCAGAGAGGATGAGCTGAGAAAGGGTGCCAGGGTGGCTTTTTGGTGGGATGAGGAGAAGAGTGAACAGCAGACAGTGATGCTTGGTGGGTAGAGAGCGAGGGTCGGGAAGTGGAGCTGCTTAAAAATGTCTGGGAGCTGCTGGTCTGGGCAAAGTCTGCACCTGTCTGTTAATTGCCAGAACTGTAAACCACAGTCATTTGCCCCGTGTTTCTGGATATCCCTGTATATGCTGTGCAAGGTGCTGTCATTTGTATGGCAGGTCGAAGGTAAAGAGCTAACACAGGGATAACCGGGATGATATCGCTAGTTACTGACCCAGCATTAGCCAGGGTAAAATGGCACAGCTCCCAGTGTTGCCTGCTTACACAGGAAATCTTGAGGCGCTCCGCACCTGGGCATCTGTCCTGGCTTTGAAACAAGAAAGAATGAGCCCTGTTGCTTCATTGAAAGCTTTTCTGGCTCGCTCAAGTACAAGCACAGGTTCATCACAAGCAGTCTTTTCACACCAAGTGCTTATGCAGATACGTAGTCAGTTGGGGTAGGTAGGAGCAACCCCAAGGGATCGCATCAGTGGCTCACTCAAAATAAGACCTGTGAGCCCAAGCTCTCGCTTTAAATAGCCCCATCAGCCAGGCTATACATTGCTCTTGAGAAGCTACATGATGATATGAAGTGGCTTTTTATCCCCAAGATGGGACATACGTGAAGT